GGCCCGCAAGCCCACTCCTCCTTCTTTCCGGAGCAAGAAGCCGCTTTGCCAACGCTTCCTGGCGCCGCAGGCCCGAGGAGAAGCTGCCAGGAGCATCCCAGACCCACCTGCCACCCCTCCACCCCCACCGCCACTCCTGCCACCTCCACCTCCATCCCCTCCTCTGTTGCCACCATCGCCACCTCCTCCGTCTCCTCCCAAGGTTTCTCTCGCTTCTTTTTCTCCGTCCCCTATTAGCCCTCGGCACCTCTCGCTGGCCAAGCGCCCCCAGTCCCCCGCCAAGCCACCGGCCGTCCTGCCAGCGGCCCGCCCAGTGCCAGAGCCAGCCCCTCGCCGCGAGCTCAAGGGGATCCTTAAAAATCTCCAGAACTTAGCGGCCATCGAGAAGTCAGTGGCCAACATGTACAGCCAGCTCGACCAAAACCACGCGCTGCCCAAGCCCATCACTGGCAAGCTCAAGGCGCCGGCGCTGCCGGAGCCGCCCGCTGCCACCGCCAGCACCGAGCACAACGGTGGCCTGAGCTGCGTCGTGGAGGAGCTGGAGAAGCGCTTCCCCTCCCAGTCAACCGCCCTGTGATGGGGACCTCTCGCTCGGATGCAGCCCGTGGCGTACCCAAAACACAGACTTTTTTTTTTTCCACTTCTTGGGGGTGGGGAAAAGCATCCGGTTTTGTCCCCCGCTCTCCCAGCCGAGCTGGAGCAGGCCCTAGTGGTTTGCCTCGAGCCACCTTCGCCACGGGCAGAGCTTCCTCCCTCGCTTCACCCATAAAAACGAGCCGAACCGGCGGCATCCCGCGCTCTGGTGTGGGATACCAGAGCAAGCCAAGCGCGCGAGCCGCAGCCATTGCTGTTTAGCTGACAGGAGGCGATGCCCGCGCGGTGCTGGCGCGCTTGCTCTCAGCGCGCGTTTCCATCTCTGTGTCCGATGATATTTTCTTTTCTCTTGATTTATCCAACCTGCTGTATTCCCTCTTCTTACCCTTGTTATGCCTTCCATTGCATTCTTTTTTTTATATGTCTATTGCAACTGCATGTTGAGAGTTTTTATTTTGTAAATAATTTAATGTTAAAAAAGCATGTATTTGTCCTTTTTATTTTGCATGTTGACTCTGTTGACTTGCCTTCCTAGCTGTCATGCCACTTCACCGTGAGTTTTCCAGCTCAACTGTTTTGCTTCCCTTGTGATGCAATCAAGTTACTCCCATGAGTGTCGCTAAGTGGAGGAGTTTGCCAAGGGCTTGGAAAAAAAAAATCCATGCGACATGGATTTCCTTGCTGATTTTTCTCTTGCCGCTCTTGGAAAAGGCAGATATTAGAGTTAGGGATCCTTAACGGAGTTTCATCCCATCCATTGCGGAAAAAGCCACGGCAGGTAGCTCTGACCTCTTATCCAGTGAGGAAGTTAGAGAAATCTATCTTCATTTTCACTGGAATGAATGCAACCTTTCCTCTCCTGCTGGCTTGATTTTTTTAATATCCTTTATTTTAAAAAAAATATTTTTTTAGACTGTAGCTTTTAGACTGGAGCTGTACCAATCAGCAGGTCTTCTAAGCTCAACCCAGGGAGCATTTGTAGGTGTTTTTTGGTGATATTTTTTCATACGCAAGCAGATACCAGGTAAGACACAGCAGGCGCCTGCTGGCATGGCCACAGTGGGGATAACGGCGACTCCAGGCGGATCGCAGCTCCTCGCATCCAGGTGGCACGCGGCAGGTCACCCCGCTCGCCCTTGTGTTGAGCACCCCCGGCATTTCCTCACCCACCTCCATCCTCACGTGCATTCGGGCCTTGCGTTCCGGTTTGGCGTGGGCCGTCGGACTTGGCCGCGACACCTTGTGGGCCGTTTTTATGCAGGAGCAATTCCCTTCCTTGGGCAAAGAGCTTTCCGATTCCCTCCTGGAGAAAAAAACAAAAAAACATTCTTTTGACCCTTGATTTGTATGTATGTATTTATTTTTATTTATTTATTTACTAAATAGTATAGTGGTGCTATTTTTAATGAAATTGCATTCCGAATTACACTGATATCTTACAAATTTTGACGCCCAGTGTAGTATCGGCTCAAAAACGCTAAAGACCAAAGCAGTCTCCGCAAAGTCCCAGATCATCTTCTGGTGATCAACCTTGGTTGCAGTCGATCGTTACTTTCTCTAATGTAGGCAGCCACCTTGATTTAATGCCACGGGCTGCATAGCAATAGAAAACACTGTGCTATTAAAGTGCTATTAAGCACGGTGCTATTAAAGAAGTAAAAAGTAACTTTTCCTGTGCTCTCAAGTCTTATTTTCTCAAGTGCAATTAAAGAGTTGCCCGTGTCTGTGTGATATTCGCTGAGCTCAGTGTGATTTTGAGCACTTACCCTTTCTCTTTTTAGGAAAAAATGTATATAAATTCTCAAGTTTATCCTTAACAACAATGCTAAGACCTAAATCCACCAGCTTGGCAGCACATTTTAATTTCTTGGCATAAAGTGGGTAAAGGCAGAAGTCAGTAGGTGTAAGTGTATTAGTCCTGTGTCCTAGCAGCTCCGAGAGAAGGAATTAAAATATTAATGCAAAGCTTGCAGGGAGATCCAAAGCCTGCGGCAAAATAATCAGGCATAAGCAAAAATAATGCAGCTCCCCCGTCTTGTTGAGGGAAATGGTGAGGTAAGAAATGAGTGATTTTAGTAAACAGATTTTAGCAAAATAACTTTGTTAGAAGAAATTAGTAACATGTGCTCTGGGCTGATTTCTAGCAAGTCACTGTGTGTTTTCATGGTGTTTTTCCTGGAAAAGCCACGGGGTAGGATGGGAATCCGTGTTTCTGCCTGGGGAGCCGGAGGGGAATCTCAGACTGGGGATTCCTTCTCTCTGTGCAGCTCCGGGCAAGAAAATGTCCCCGGGTTTCCCTCTCTCCTCTCGTGCGCCGGCGCGTCTGTGCAGAGCAGATGTAAAGAAGGGCAGGCGGTTTCTTGCGAGTGTGAGCTCTAATTGCGGGGTCTTTTCACCTCTCTCCAGCCCAGGTGGCAATGTGCGTCTCTGTAAACTCAAACAGAAGTGTACTAATACTCTCTTTTTCTTTTTCCGATTTTTAGGCGAGGATATGCACAGCAAGAGGTAAGGCTGTTTCCCGACTACAGTTTAAAATATACATATATATATATATAAAAAAATAATATATATATAAGCTACTGCAATACTATGGTTAAATTGAGAAACTTGTTGCTGCGGGGGATACTTTAGAGGCACAAAATATAAATGGGCTCATATCATAACTGGAAGGTTCTCCAAACCCTGTTTTTATTTTTATCCTCAAGCTTGGTGGTTAGAGATGAAAGCTGGGTCAGTGTCATTAATCTTTGGGATCTCACATTTACCCCTACTCCACGTGAGACATAAATGTGGAAGTACTCGGTGGGCTTTGGCATCTTTGGGCCATCACCGTATGAAGAGCTCTGACCCACCTGTGCTTTAAGGATTTCTTTCTGATGATAGTTCCAACACAAATGACTTGCTCTGTATTTGCTGCACCCTAATTAATCCCTTTGTCATTTTCTTCGGTAGCAACAGCAGTTGCTGAGACCTTCTCTTCTCAGACCAGAGGTACCATTATTCTTTATCTCTTAATTATTCTGTAACTTTTAAATGACCTTTACAGTATTTTGTAATCAAAAATAACTTTTCCCTGGTAGTTTTATTTCCGGGGGAAAAAAAAAAAAAAAAAAGGTAAGCCACATAATTGGTGCCCCATTCTCATAAATACTGAATGTGGCCACCTCTTGATGTTTTCTCCCTTGAGCATCTTGTAGTTGCTCCTATTCATTTCATCACATCGGCTGAAAAGTTTCCTGTCCCTGTATCCAGCTGCCATCCACTTTTTCAGGAGTTTTTTCAGACAATAATTGGCTGAAAGAATGATACTGGTCCTGGTCTCATTTCCAGGATGAGCAATAAAGCCAACAGCGCTTGAGTTGTTGTAGTACTGGGGGGAATACTCCATGAAAGGAGGGTGCCACAGGCTTTTAAAGCTCCTGTTAACATCCCAATGCCATTCTTAATGTTTATTGGCATTGCTTGGATGATAATCCTTTTATTTTCCTCTGCTTATTTGCTCTCCAGGATGCTGTCCTTGGTGTTTGTTATGTGAGTTACGTTGGGTGCAAGTGCTTGCGTTCATTTGGTGTCTCTCTCTTGGCAGGAGTTAAGTATGGAGTCTGGAATTGACCCAGGGCAGGAATACTATGGGCAAGATTACTACAGTTATGAGCATGGGTATAATTTCAATTTTTCCCTATATATTTCTGAAAATGCTGCTTGTCTAACTCCTTGTTTCTTTAGGAATCTGTTATACTGCAGAGACATTTATCATGTCATTTTTGTTTTCACTTTTTATTTGCTGACTTGGAAATCAGTTTCCATCACCTCCTCCCCTCCTGTGGCTCGGTGATCTCTATGGCATTCTTGCAGATCCCAGCCAGCCTTTGGCCTTTCAGATTTACCCCAAATCCCCTTGCTCCACCTCGTTCCGACAATGTGATAAATGCCGGCGCTTGGAGATTTTTGGAGATTCTGGTTTTCTTACGAGTTTGCAGAGATCCTCCAGCACCCTTCCCAGGAGATCTGGTCTTTGGCTTCCTAAATTAAAACAGAAGTGTATACACATGCACACATTATATATAAAATCAAAAAGTGGGGAGAGAATTCATGTACCTCACAGGAAATTCTGGCCCACTCACAACCCTCTATCTACGAGAGGACTAAATGCAGTGAATATGTATGTTGAATTGTGTCGCTTGCTCGTGTAAAGCATGAAATCCTCAAAGGTAGAGCAAAAGAATGAAGCAGTTGCTGTCCCTTGGGGCTGTGCATTTATTGCTGTACGTGGGGACAAGCTGCATATGTTGGTCCCTCTTCCATCCAGGTATGAGCTGCCTCAGTACGGGAGTCGCCGCCGGTTGCTGTCTCCTTCGGGAATGTACGACGAATACGGGGAGGTGGTTGTGGAAAACGATGGCGGCTATTACTATAGTCCGCACGGATCGACAACAGAAGAAGTAAGTGCAGCTGGCCTCCTCATTTGGTCTTTGTAACAAGAGGAAGCATCATGAAACCTTGCCAAATGATTATTTTTATTGGTAATTGATTAGAAAATTGGGTTGTGTAGAGTTGTGTTGGTGGTGCTCATCATAGCCCACCATTCTGCTGACCAGTAAAGTGCTTGTCAGCACCTCTGTTCCCTTGGCTAGAAATGAAAGAGGAATTGCAAAGTTTCTTTTAATATACGCCTCCAGTTTTCCCTCAGGGTGGGCTTCTAGTTCAATGAAAAGTGCATGGAGCCTTAGGTAATTTCATTTTATATTTGCAAGCAAATGAGGTATAACTAATACCCAGCCTATAACTGGCGATCTGCTGGTGAGAAGCGCAGTCACCTAAATAAATTTGTCATAGAGCTCCTAACTGAATGTAAAGAAATTATTTTAAAATGTCAGTGGCAGGCAGAAGAGAGTTGATGGAAAAGTTCATTTTTTATTTAATATTCAGAGATAGCAGGCTGTTAATCCATCACATAGATGCTAATTAAATGAGAAGAGATAACGTTTATGAGCCAGTGCGTTTCACAGTTGGAGAGCAAGATGGTTGGGCACAAGGTGCTTATTGTAAAAGTCAGATTTCCTCTGTAATTTTTGTAAGAAGCAGTCCCAAAACAGGTAAGTCAGTTTTGATGCTGGGGAAAGTGTTCCTTCTCTCTTATTTTAGGGTAAATTTTGCTAATATCTCTTTTCCAAATCGTAACCACGTTCCATTTTCATAATTTTCAGGGAATGAGTCAAGGCAGAGGTCCTCCAAGCAGAGGTATAAGCCAGAGAGCAGGGGCTCAAATGGAAGGTAGACCTGTAGGTGGTGGGATGGATCTAAGACATGGTACTGCAAGAATGTATAGGAGCAACCAGGGCAAAAGGAAACTAAGAGCAGTGATGCATTTAAGTCGCCTAGCAGTAAGCACTCGCCATCCAATACGAAGAGCTGAGCCTGCGCCTTCTCCATGGAAAAAAGCGAGGATATTCCCAATGATTCTACAGAAAGTAAAGGGCAGCAGGAAGGACTCCAGTTACGCTAAGCTCATGTCAGCTCGCCAAGTGGATGGCGATGGAAGTGTGGTTATCAAGGGAAGGTACTTCCAGAAATCGACAGATGACAGACCTTCCATGAGGAAACTAAACCATGTGTTGAAACGCATTAGTGTGTCCAAGAAACTGCAGGAGGTCCACGCAAGAGGAAAAGGAGAGGAGGAGTATGAAGGTGATGAAACAAAATCGGGAGTTTCGATAAGTATCACAGCCGAAAGTGAACACGAGGAGAGTGATTATGAAAAGAAGAAAAAGAAGAGAAGAAAATACGCATCCGAGGATGAATCATCAGTGAAGAGTAGTAGCAGCTCTGCCTCGGAGTCGGAAGATAAAGACTATTTGAAAGTAACACTGGACCAAGATGAAGCCACTGAGAGTACTGTGGACTCTGATGAGGAAGATGGGCACGAATTTGGGGAGTCTGAAGATGAGGACTCTGGATCCAGCTCTAGCAGTGACTCTGAGGAGGATTCATCTGAAGAGGAAGACGATGACGAGGAGGACTCCGAAAGCGATGAAGACGATAGCCAATCCAAGAGCTCCTCAACGCAAAGTTCATTCAGCAGATCAGGGCCTAGCGAGTCCAGCAGCAGCAGCAGGTCAAGCACAAGAAGCAGGGGAGGCAGTTCTCGTGGAAGAGTGAGACGCTCCAGCCGGAAGTCAGTGGCGAGTTCGGACGCGTCCGGGAGCGAGAGGGACACCAGCTACAGGAAAACTTCAGGATCCAGCTATAAGAGCAAAACGTCCTCAGCCAGTCTTGAAATAGAAGACACGATAGAAGAGGTGTCGGAAGAAGATGAGCAAACAGATGTGGAGCAAGGTGACGCAAGCCCTGACGAGGCAGCAGATAACGGAGATGATAAGGCCGCTCCTGAAACGTCTTCGGCCAATGCAAGACCTGCTACTGCTAAAGAAAACAGGAAAGAAAAATCAAGTGTTAGTGGTGGTGAGGGTGTGGATGAAAGCACAGAGGAGGCTGCTATGGATGCTAGTGACGGGGAGGAGACCACCAGTAAGAACGAGTCTAGTTGTCTAGAGAGCGAAATCAGCACTGCAACCAAAGGCACCAAGGGCACCAAAAGCACAACGAGTGCCACCTCGAGCAAAACCGAGGCTTCCCATCACACTGGGACTCCAAGCTCTGACACCAACGGGAAGAGAAGGAAAATGAGAAAAAAGGCCTCCCTGGAAGACAGCGAGTCACGGTCTAATGAGACGCTGGATACCGCAGAGTCGGAGACCACGGGCGATTCCACCGCCTTTTAGGAAAGGTGGAGCAGCCGAAGGGCGTTTTGCAGTAAGGAGTGGGCTGGTTTGCTGTGCCTTCTGTGTGGTCTTTCCTAAGCGGTGCCCGCTCAACAAGAGGTGGCCAAAAAGTAAAGGTCCAAATGCATCACATTGACCTTTAGATCTTAAATGCTATCTTAGGAGGAGAAATGTTAGGGAAAAACAATACGAGTCCTACTCAGGTATTACTAAATGGCACATGAAAGATTAATTTTCATCCAGCATGAAAGATTAATTTTCATCCAGCATGGACAAGGAAGAGGAACATATTTTTTCTCTGCTAATTCTAATAATAAACAGCAGTGTGTTAATTCTTACATTTAAGCTGATAAAAAGCAGTGTTTTGCCTTAGCAGTGCTGGATAACTTAAGGGACTTGAGGGCGCAAACTCATCCCAGGCTCGTTAACGTGTCTGGAATAGTTGGTGTCCACCAACATGGTTGTGCTCAAAATGAGCATGACAGTGTTGGGAGCGTTGCTGTTATTTGTGATCCAAGTGGCCTTTGGGTTTTCGTATGAGAAACAATGGCGGCGTGATGTACGGCCTCACAGAGGTCCTGTCCGTGCTGAAGCTTTGCGTGCACGCAAGCCTCGGCACGTCATTTATCTTCTAGTAAAAGCCACCGAGCAGTTTGGCCAACACTGTATTTTTTTTTTCCCCCAGAAAAGTAATAAAAAGCCTAAATAAAATTAAAATTTTCATGAGGTTTGATGGATTATTCTTGAGGGCTCCAAAGGTAATACAAGTTCTGATATATCATGAAAACAGAAGGCACTTGGATTTACGGTTAGTTGCCCATCCTAAATTGTGAGACTCTTCACCCACCTCAATATATCAGCTTGAAGAAAATTGTGTCTCTCTATCAGGAACAAAAGGTCGATGAAGGCCCCATAAGACAGGCGCCCAAAGTGTAACTTTTCCAAAGCGTAAGAGTTATCCTCACCTGTTTGTGCCTTGCATGATTTTCTTGCTCTGAAAACCGCCTATTCTTGTGTGCATGTGTGTGTATTGCAGTGGGACTGTGACTGTGGTGATATCTGCTGCCTTAGTGAAATAACGGGGTTCCCATGATTAATTCAAGGATGATTAGGAGCTTGTTGCGATCTTCTGCAAGTAGGCAGATGTAATTTTAAAAATGTTAATTTTAGCTTAGGTAATGGGTTTTGTGTAGTCGATATTAGTATCATGTCACGGAAGCATGGAAATTAAGTTTGCATTAATTCTTTGGAAAATGTAGTCAAATGTTTTATCACTGCAATGTCTTACTTGCATTTCATAGCAAAGTATTTCCATTGGTTCCACTAGATTTCAGCTGGCCCGGAGCTTTATCACAACAATTTGTTGCATTTCTTTTTCAGCACCCAGGTTTGCTGACACGATGACAATTTTCCCTCGTGTAGGTCCAAGATGCTGCTCTCCTTGGTGTGTTGTACATGTAAAACAGACCTGCTCAGAGTCGTTTCTGCAGTGACTGCACTATTTAATAGCACTCTGGAAGAAATCTTCCAATGCATTTGCCTAAGCATTGTCCAAAAGTCACTTGGAAATATCACTTGTTTCCTTGCCATCAATACGTTTCAATTACTGTTGGAAGGGGATAGTAATTGTTTTGCCAGGTCTTTGTAAAGCAGGTATGTTCCAAGTGTGAAGGAATAAATCATATTTTTTAATACATCTGCACTCCATCTCAGCGACACGATGCCATTCCTAAACTCAAATGAGTATGTCCATTTTGCAGCTTTTTAGTAGGATGGGTTTGTGTGCGCTAGCATTGAGTGCATATGCTGTTGTCACACGACAGTCATCAGAATGATCAAAAATGAGAGTAAAAAAAGACCAAGTTATGAAAATTCACAGAAAGTGTCTGGATAAAAGACTGGGTGAACAGTAGATATGGACACAGTGGGAAAAGGATGAGAAAATGTAAGAAATAGTGCTGTGATTTAATGGCATTTCTATTTTTTGTCCAACAGTGGGCCAGGAAGAAAAGGATCAAGTTGATAGTCGACCCCGAATATGAGACCAGCTCCACCGGAGAAGACAGCGCTCCGGACTCCATCCAAAGGAATCGTCTGAGTAACCCCAATATCCAGAACAACGTCAACGGTAACGTCTACATAGCCCAGAACGGCTCGGTTGTCAGAACGCGCCGCGTTTGCCTTGCTAATAATTTAAAAGTCACGTCCCCAGTGAGGCTGGGGAAGCACTTCAAGAAACTGGACAAGCTCGCGGTGACGCATGAGGAGAACGTCCCGCTCAACACCTTGTCCGCAGGACCGCCCTCGAGCGATAAAATAAACACCAGACCTTGTAGTGTCTCGTTCGCGCCCTCGGCTATAGGGGCCGAGCACGGGGCAACAAAGCCAGGGGGGACCAAACTGAAAAGCACAGAAGAGCAGGAGTCGGTGGTGGACAACGAGGACGTCAAAGAGCCCTTGGAGTCGCACAGTGAACACACGCAGTCCGACGAAGAGGAGCTCTGGATGGGCCCTTGGAATAACCTTCACATACCAATGACAAAACTGTGATTTTTTTTTTATTTTTACTTCAGTTTATAATAAACTGCGCTTTTTATTGTCACTGAGGAAAATGTATGAAATTTGTATCGTGCACATATGTTGTATACTACAGACAACATGCTTTAAAGGCTAAAAGGAAAAAAAATTTGCACTCATATTTGTACCAATTGTCCTCCCCAACGACTATTTTGACAGGCTCCCATTGCACTAAGCAATCCTTCATTTGAGTTTATTAGTTCTTTTGGATCTTGGTTATCGTCTAATAAACGGCAAAACTACTAATAAACGCACAGCAGCATTTGGGTAACTTTTCAGACCGTTCTCTACCCGCCTAGCTTGGTTTACTGTATGGTACTCGTGGCTCTGCTGTTTAGATTTGGAAATTGCCTATTTATGGTCTTGGTTTCTAGCCAGAAAACTTGATTCTGAATTCAGAGTAATAAATGAAAATAAATCCATGGAAGTCAACAGAGCAGATCCCCGGCTGGTTTAAATTTGAGTGGCAGTGCCGCAGGCGAGAGCGATATATCAGTTTAGGCAGATAGCAAATGTCTGTAAGGGTGGTCTAAGCGTGGACTAAATTTGGCTAAAATTGATTAAAAATTCCAGAGAGGACTAAAATGCATAGCAGTTAATCTTACTCAGTTACCTGGCCATGCTTTGTTCATTTTCTTTCGTAAATTATCTGATTCCTGTTTCTTCCCAAATTGATTTTTTCATCTCTTTCTACATTGGTTCTATTTTCTTCTTTGCATGGTCTTTGGTTCCAGTTTCTGTGCATCATCCATAATTGTCATCCTAGGGCTACAGTCCTCTGAACTGAACCAGGATGATACCAGAGTCTGTAGAAAAGAAAGCCTTTTAAGCAAGGTTTATCTGTAAAATATTGGTGCCCACTTTTACTTTTTGTTTGTAACTTAAAAAGCAGTCAATGCCTCGCGGCAACTTGAGCAGAGAGCCGAAAAACGATGCTGTTGGTAATCGCCACGTGGTATCTAAGAGCTGGCACTGCAGAGCAGTGTTTTTCTCCAAAGCAATATTAGAAAGAAAAAAAAATCCCACATATTCACATGAGAAAAGCATCTTGTTGTATTGTGCAGATCGTTCTTTCTTTCAGGACGAGTTTAAACGAGGCAGGAGAGTGGATAACCCTTGAAAGACAGGGTCAACAGAGAAATGTTTTGCAATTATAAGTAAATGACAGGCATCACTGTTCCCTTCCCGACGCTATAATCAACATCCATGGCAAGGTCTGGATTCTGAGAGCTGTTGGTTTGGCCCCAGTTATAAATGGACTTGTGCTGCTGTGGTTTTGTTTTCCCCTCGTCCAGCTTCTTCTCCAGGAGGTTCCTCCTAACATCGTCTCGAGAAGCTCTTCATGTTCTACCAGCCGATGTCGATGTGACGCATCTGTGAAATACCTCCCTTGGAACCTGAGGTTTCCGACCAAATATCCGGAGCAGTGGTGCTTGTCTTTAGGCATGAGAAATGCCACGTAGCCTATCATGCAAGAGAAAAAGACTTGGTATTTCTTAACTCTCTTATCTTGGCATATTTGCACTTGGTACCTAGCTTAAAAAAAGCTGTTTGGAGTTGAGAGAGAGCCTGAACGTGTGGATGAGAATGATGGAAGGAGAAGAAAAAAATCTATTCTTTGAAAAAAATAGTAAAATGTTATATTTTAATCCTATGCAAGATGCTGTTATTTTTTCGCTACTGTTTCAATTGCAATATCTGTCAGTCTGATTCTTAACCAAATGCTCGGGTACCGTGCTTATGGGGAGTTCTAAGGGGAACTTAGAGAAAACTAGAGCCTAACAGAAGTTACGGCATTACAGCGGCTTGCTCGAGCTGAGAGACAGTTACCGCTTCCAGGATGGTTGGTATGTGCGGAATCGACTTCTCCACGATTCCCTTGGCAACGCAATGTGCCCTACTAACACATACTAATAAGAGTAAATGAAGAGTAGAGCAGAATGGAGACACCATGGCCAAACTTTGTTGGCTTCCCTGCGGAGGGGATAATGTGATGGTGCTGTGCAGACGATGAGTGAATGGAGGGTGGAGCGGAGTGAAGACACCACGGCCAAACTCTGTGGTGCTCCGTGCAGAGGTGGCAACCTGGTCGTACCATGCAACTGATAAGCCACATCACACAATAAGATGTCTGGTGCTGGGCCAGCAATGGTGGCAGATCAGTTCCTTCTGATGGACTTTGCTGAAACTTCTCCTCCTTCTAATCTCATTATAATACCCATGGCACAACCCCATCTCACAGAGCATGCTCTTTAGATTTTCAATTAACTCGGGAGACTTTTTTAAAGCAATAAAAAAGTAAGTATGACTAACTACTCAAGCTCCACCTAGATGTAAAAGAAAATACATAAAAGGCGAACTAAAGAGGCATATAGTAGAAATGCAGAATGGGGTAAGAACCAGGAAGGAAGAACGGGATGGTAAGAGCGGAGGAAGAAGAACTAGGGAAGAAGGAAGAGGAGAGAAGAAAGATTCCATCGTAACTTCTGGATCAGTTGACAGGCGTTCAGCGAACCCCTTTCCTCCCCTTGGGTCAGGACACTGCCTGAGGAGTCCCCTAAAGATTGAGAGCCCTCTAACCGTTTTGTGGGTGAGTGATGATCACTCATTGGTACGCTAGGCACTAGCTAAGAACCGCACGCTGTAGTAGAGAGTTTCCTATATTCTATCCAAAAGTCCATAGGGCCGCCCGATGCAGTGCGCACAGAGACGCAGGGAGGCCGCACAAAAGGCCGTTAAGTCCCCCCAGGCCCAGTGCACGCGGAGGCCCCAGGAGGCCCCACGAAAGCCTGTAGGGCCCCCCAGCCCGGTGCACATGGAGGCCCCGGGAGGCCGCATGAAAGCACATTTGCCCCCCACCCGACCCAGTGCACACGGAGACTCTTGGGGGACGCACGAAAGCAAGTAGGGCCCCTCAGCCCACTGCGCACAGAGGCCCCAGGAGGCCCCATGAAGGCAAGTAGGAGGTCCCACGGGCCCAGTATGGTTCCCCCGGCCCAGTATGCACAGAGGAGCTGGGACGCCGCAAGGAAGGACATAGGGACTCCCCCATCCCAGTGCGCATGGAGGAGCTGGAAGGCTGCACGAAAGCCCGTGGAGCCCCCCGGGCCCCGTGTGCACGGAGGACCTAGAGGCCACACGAAAGCCCCTAAGTTCGCTCCCCTCCAGTGCGCACAGAAGCCCTTGGAGGCTGCACAAAGCCGGTAGAGACCCCTCAGACAAGTGCACATAGAAGGCCGCACGAAAGCTCGAAAGTCCCCCCAGGCCCAGTGCACACAGAGATCCCAGGAGGTCCCACAAAAGGCCATAGGTCCCCCCCAGCCCAGTGCGCACGGAGGCTCTTGGAGGCCCTAAAGCCCGAAGGGTGCCCTCAGCCCTGTGCGCGCAGAGGGCCCTGGAGGTTGCACGAAATTCTGTAGGGCCCCTGTGGCCCAGTACACATGGAGACCAACGGAGGCCGCCTAAAAGACCATGGAGACCCCTTCAGCCCTTGGAGACCCCTTGAAAATCCATAGGGCCCTTCCCGGCCCAGTATGCACAGAGGCCCCAGCACGCTGCACGAAAACCCATACGGCCACCCTGGGCCAGTACGCATGGAGGCCACGGGAGGCTGCATGAAAGCAAGTAGGAGGTCCCCTGGCCCATTGCGCCCAGAGGCGCTGGGAGGCCGCAAGGAAGGACATAGGGACCCCCTCTCCCAGTGCGCACAGAGGCCTCAGGAGGCCGCACAAACGCCTGTAGGGTCGCCCGTTCTGGTACACGCAGAGGGCCGGGAGGCTGCATGAAAGTCCCTAGGGCCTCCCGAACCCAGTGCACACAGAGACCCAGGGAGGCCGCACAGAAGCAAGTAGGGCCCTCCCAGCCCAGTGCACACGGAGGAGCTGGGACCCCACACAAAAGCCCGAAGGCTCCCCCGACCCAGTGCTCACAGAGGCGCTGGGAGGACACACGAAAGCCCATAGGGTCCCCCCCGGCCCTGTGCACACGGAGGTCCCTGGGGGACCCCATAAAAGCCCATAGGGCCCCCTGGGGCCAGTGCAAACGGAGGTCCTGGGAGGCCCCACAAAAGAGTAAGGCCCACCCCCATGGCACATTGCGCAGAGAGGCCCCAAGAGGGAGCACGAAAGCTCGTAGGATCCCAGTGCACACAGTGGCCCCAGGAGGCCACCCGTAGAGCCACCCCGGCCCAGTGCACACGGAGGACCTGGGAGACCGCACGAAAATCCGTAGGGTCACTCCCCGCCAGTGCACAGAGAAGCCCTTTGATGCTGCACAAAAGCCAGTAGAGACCCCACGAACAAGTGCACAGAGAAGGCTGCGCAAAAGCTCGTAAGTCCCCCCAGGCCCAGTGCACATGGAGGCCCTGGGAGACTGCACAAAATTCCATAGGGCCCCTCCGGCCCAGTGCGCACGAAGACCACTGGAGGCCGCACGAAGGCCCGTTGGAACTCCCCGGCCCAGTGTGCACGGAGGTCCCGGGAGGCCGCACGAAAGCAAGTAAGGTCCCCCGCCATGGCACAGTGTTCACGGAGGCCCTGGCAGGCTGAACAAAAACGCATACGGCCGCCTCGGGCCACTGCACACGGAGGCCACAAGAAAGCACGTTCAGCCCACTCAGTCCAGTGCACACGGAGGGCCGGGGAGGCCACACGAAAGCAAGCAGGGCCCTCCCGGCCCAGTGTGCACAGAGGCCCCGTTAGGTCACACAAAAGCCCATATGGTGCCCTCGGCCCTGTCAGCACGAAACTCCATAGGTCTTCCCGGCTCAGTGCACACGCAGGATCTGGGAAGCTGCATGAAATTCCGTAGGCCCCTCTGGCCCAGTGCACATGAAGTACCCGGGAGGCCGCACGAAAGTCCGCAGGGCCCCCGAGCCCAGTGTGAACAGAGGCCCGGAGAGGACACACAAAGGCACCTTGGGCCCCCCCAGCCCAGTGTGCTTGGAGGCTCCGGGAGGCCACACGAAATCCCTTTGGGCCCCCCTCGGCCCCATGCACATGGAGGCCCCAGAAGGCCCCACAAAAGCCCACAGCTCCCCCCTCCCGCCCGCCGCCTTGGACCATTGCCCATGGAGGCCCCAGCAGGCCGCACAAAAGCCTGTAGGGGCCCCCACTGGCCGGGTGAACACAGAGGACTCAGGAGTCCATGTAAAAGCCCATAGGACCCTCCCGGCCCAGTGCACATGGAGGCTCTTGGAGGCCCCACGAAAGCAAGTAAGGCCCTGCCCACCACAACACATTACGC